GCGGGAGCCCGGCCGGGCCTCGCCGGCCCGGGGGGTTGTGTCCCTTGATGTGGCGATGCGCAAAGCGCAAAGGCCGCGGCCCTGTGCCCCGCCACGAGCACGCACGTTATTCTGCCTCGAGGGAAAGGTGTTTGTGAAGAGACTAACAATAAATTCCTTATTCCTCACTTTAAAGTCGTTATTCTGCTTTAAGTCCTTGTCTCACGTTGTCCGTTAGTGTCCTAGAGGCATGAGGGGAAGGGGAATATCGGGCACTCCCCGACACTGCAGCCAACCTGACCTTCGCTTCCTGCCTCGTGCCGACATTCCAGTGTCTCGCAGGAGCGGCCGGGCTGGGATTAGTGAGCGCTGCCCCTGTCACCCGCCTCGGAAGAGGCGTTTTGGCGCGTGGGGAAGCACGGGGCACACGGGCGCGCTGCTCCGCGCGGTGCCGCCGTCCCTCGCGGGCGCCGGGGCACCTTCCCGCCCCGCGCTGAGCGCCGCGGTCACGTCTGCCGCCTGCCCGGTCCCAGGGGGGGACGAGGGGGCCCTGCAGCGCCACGGTGACAGCTGGGTCCCCCCGCGTGACACGGAGCACGCGCTGTGCCAGGCAGCGCCAGGGCAAAGACGGCAGCCCCTGAACCCTCCCTCCTCCGTCCCTCCGCTCGCCGGGGCTTGAATTTAAATAAAACACGGACACGTAGCCGCGCCAGATCCCCAAATGTGATATATACGCATATGCATAGCGTGTGCTATGTATGGGGCATAAATCTATGTGGACAGACTGCTCTGCGCTTATGCTAAAGGGGGTCAAAGTATGTCTAACCCCGAGAGCAGAAGGTGATGGGGTTTGTAATGGGCTTTTGTTCTCGGCACAGATCATTCCCCACGCTGGGCCAGGGCCCCAAGAAGGGTCTGTCTGCGGCGCAGATGAGCGCTGCCGTCACTGCCGGGCTCACATTATTGCCGCAGACTGAAGCTGTTGACCGTGGTCTTCGTCCAGAAATTCTAGTTGTATTTTAGACATTTCTAAACCCCAGTGCCTTTGGGTATCTCAGATGCACAGCCCAGGACATCGAGCTAATTGTGTGGGAAACTGGCTGAGGGGAGAAAAGCCTCAGACAAAAATCTGATTTCTTTCTTTCTTCACTTCAGAAATGGCTCAGGCACTGTGTATGTAGAGGATCTGGCAATCTGGATTTCAGATCAGTGTTTGTAGATACATATGAATTCTTCTTTTCCTTCCAGAAAGCTTTTATGAGGCCAAGTAATAGGAGAAATGGTTCCTCAATGACTCTCAATTCCTGAATTACAGAAATACAACAGAATATTACATATTTAGTGTTAGTGCTTACCTATAAAAGCAAAAAGAAATAGGTACAAAAATAAAAATAAAACAGTAATAATGTTGAAGTGGCACATTTAAGCATTCAAATTTAGTTACCATAACAATTGTCCTGGAAAAATGGCCAGTAAGCATATGAGAGAGAGTTGGTATTTTTAGGGACATTGTGTGTTTGGGAAGAGGAGCAATTCCTGTCTGCGTATGGGGCTGAAATCAGAGCATCATCCAATTCTCTGGCATATGTTTGGGGATGGCAAAGGAGCTGTATAATCTCCTTGGGAAAGTGTAATGCTGACAGCGTCGTTTCTGAAGTGCCGTAAACGTAGATGGTATTTGATAAACAAGCACACAAAGAAAAAAAAATGCATTAAGGCACCGTTCCGTTGAGGACCGCGCTACCCTGCGGCCAAGCTCGCGGAGGTCTCGCTGCGCCGGCCTCACGGCTGAGCCTTTGGTAGGAAGGTGCCCAGGGTAAATCTGCCGCCGGGGTCCGCGCCGGAGCTCCCCTGCGCGCCAGGCCCGGGCAGGAGCCGGGCAGAGCCCCCAGCCCCGACGGCAGGCAGCAGCCCCGGACCTGCCCAAACAAAAGAGCAGGTTGCAAACAGGGCTGTGCCATAAAGAGGGTTTAATTGCTTTTGTCTCAGGCCCTTTCCTTGCTCTTTGGGCGCTGGTCTCTCCCTTGGAGGGCAGACGACATGGCGGCAGCCCCTCTGCGAGGGTTTATTCCGCGGGAAGCGGCTCGTCTTGCCCACATTTCACCGGCAAATGCGGCTCTAAACAGAGCAGGGCCCGGCGCTACGAGGAGATGTTCTAGCAGGGCGCCTCGGACTGACGATTCAATTATTTTTCAATAAAACATCAGGGGAAGGCGCAAACAGCTGCTCCCGTCCTTCCACGCAGCAAGTCCGACTTCACGGGGAACAATAGCTGGCGAAAGGGGAGCCATCACCGGGCGGCAACAATGGGATCCCTCGCTCCCTGCCGCCTTTGTTTGGTTTCCCAGTGGCAGTTTTGAACCCGCTCCCTCCATGGGGAGAAAGGAGCCGGAGCGGGGAGGTGGTGGAGGGGGGTAGGAAGGGGAGAGGGGGAAGCAGGCAGAGGGGAAGGAGGGTCAGGGGGAGTTAAAGCCTTTTGCAGCCTTTCTCTGCCATTCATGTGGTAATTGGGTGTCAAGCAGAGATCAGTAAGATGGAGGCCGGCCTCCGTGCCCGGGTTAAACTGCAGCAGAAAGAAAGCGGGAGCTGAACCGATGGAGGCCTGAATGTCATTAGGGTGGGAGGAAGCGCCTCTCCCCCAGGAGCCCTTCTGCCGGGCGCTGGGAAGGGGCGGCC